GAGAGAGAGAGAGAGAGAGAGAGAGAGAGAGAGAGAGCGAGAGAGAGAGACTTGATGTATTGATAATATTATGATCTTTCTATGTTTTGTATGTTTAGCACTTGTGAATGCACCCTACTAATTTTTCCATTGAAGGATCAATAAAGTATAGAGATACTATTTTACGTTATCTTCTGTTATGTATAGTTAGTGTTATGTTATTTTGTTGCTTTTGTAAGTGGTTTACGGCGCTCGCAACTGCATAAGGTCATATTAGCGCGCGGTACACATTAAACGTTTTCAGTTGGTAGGAAACTTTTGAATTTTGCCCAGGTGGCGGCCAAAGCCTACTCTTATCGATTTTAGACCACCAAGGGATCTCTAACGTGTGCAACTTGCACACGGGCCCTCCGAGATTTTTCGCCCTTGTCCGAGAAGGCCAGGTGTAGATCTTTCCTACCAGAAGATCAGGGGTGTGGCTGAAAGACAGCAGTAAGAAGAAGCCAGGGAGTAGCAGTAGAAAGGCTGTAGAAAGTATCAGGAGCCCAGAGGAGGGGGGCAAAGGAGATGAGGGAGTGGGGGCAGAAAAAGGAGACGAAAGCAGACGACAGAACATTGCTAGAGAACAGGAAAGGACGTGAAAAGAGACAACATTTAGAGAAGAAAATTTTTCGGTCACTACCCGGATTTGAACCCGGGACCTTTGAATGAGAGGCCAACACCTTAACCTCTAGGCCACGAGAGCCCCCGTGTTATGTTAGAGAACGTTATGTTAATATTATGCTAGTAAGTGTTTTGTGTTATATTATGTCATGTCACTTCACGTTGCGTTTCGTTTCGTTACGTTACGTTATGTTATGTTATCTTACGTTGTGTTCCATTTTATACCTATTCTTATCCCTTACCTAATCTTATCGTATCTGACATTAAAACACACCCTCCCCTTTTTGGGATTTAGTGACACGGATTAAGGGAGGGTATGGGGTTAATGCTGGGTCCAAATGTTACAGATGTGTGTGCATGTGTGTGTGCGTGTATGTGTGTGTGTGTGCGTGTATGTGTGTGTGTGTGTGTGTGTGTGTGTGTGTG